TGAATGTATCATTTAGTGATCCATCACATCAAACATATGTCAGTATCAGTAGTCATGCTGAACTTGTTCAAGATAAAGCCAAGGCTAAAGAATTAGGGCAGTCGTATTTGAAAGCTTGGTTAGTTTTTGTGTAGATAAATTTAAATTTATTGTTTGTTGTTTTTTTTATCTATCATAGGTTTCCACAAGAACTTGATGATCCTAATTTAGGTTTACTCAAAGTAACCATTGAAGGCGCTGAATATTGGGATTCAGCATCATTACTTATGGTTCGAGCTGTTGGTTATGTTAAAGCTGCACTTGGTAATCCATCAACACTCGAAGGTGAAAATAAAAAAGTCGATTTTTCATGAACAATACAATGATTAATCTTAGAACAAAAACAAAAACACTTGATCAAGTTCTTTCATTCTGTTTCTTTTATCTTATTGTAGCTCTAGAAAGTTCTTTGTTCATTCAAGTTGTGGGAATATGATTCACATTTCTGGAATAAAAACTTTAAAAAAGCGAAATTCTCTTTTAGTAGATTTATTGTCTATTTCAAGGATTTATCGTAAATGAAAACGGTTTCACTAGATTAAAAAGATTACTAAATACAAATATAATAACAACACATCAGTAACAATGATAAACACTTATATATTTCTTTTTTCAAATAAAAAAAGAAAAACTGTTTTTTAAACATTTGTTTCTTTAACATCACTGATCCATGAGTAGAGTGATGTTACTGATTCATTAACATATTGAAAACGTATCACAATACGACGGTTTTTTTCTTTTACTCGAATTTGTTTACGTTCATTACTTATTGGATTAATATGGAATACATATTTGAGTATATCGAGTGTTAAAACAAAAATAAAAATACTAGTTAAAAAACGTAATCACAATCTAAGCAAATGATCTTGAAGCTATTTTTCGTGCAACTAAACTACTTGAAGTCATTTCACAACGACCACCAGAATAACTACTTGTCAAACATTCACACTTATAATCACGAAATCATGGTCGACAAATACCATCACTTTGATATAGAATATTTTCACAATAATTTACTTCTGTTTCACAATAATCACCTACTCAGCCTTCTTCACATAAAGATACAAAATCAGTATTTGATGTATTCAAACAAGTACCTAAACATAAACAAAATAGTTATTTTTATTTTTGACAAAAATCAAACGAAATAGATACACCATTATTCCAACAAGTATTTGATTTACATGGTCTAATATCAAATTGACAGTTCGTGCCATTGAAACTAAGTAGACATTCAAATAAATAGCCATCTGAAGCATTAATATCATTGATGCCAGTGCCTGCATGTTGATAAGGTTGAAGTACATCGCATGAAGAAATAGAGATATTGCAAGTAGCACCAATGTAATATGAATTACTGCATGTCGATGGAATAAAAATAGATAGAGATGGTGTAGCTAAAATGTAAAATATCGTTCTATCTCATAGAAAAAAACCAAGAAGAATGAACTTATGATTGATTGTTCTATTGTTATTGTCAATAGAGAAGTTAATATGAAGTTATCAAATATCAACAATAAAATCTTTATGTTGAACTTGCTGTTTATACTTATTCTCGTACTGCTTTGTTCAAGAATCCAACCAGCGATAGTTGTCGTTGCTGAAACTTCAGAAGTTTGAGTTGTTTTGCCTGTTATTATACAGGATGGCTGAAAAGTAGCTAGCTATTTTAAATCCTTTATTACTCTTTAAAAAGAAGAGAGATTATAATGTTTTTTTTTTTACTATTTTGAAGCATGCTCTATTGCATTTTGTTTTATATAAGAAAGACCATTAATTGATTGACTGTTCAAGATTCAAGACAAATACCATCTAAAAGATGCCTGAAAAATAACTTCTTATTTTTTTGAACGTTTATTGCTTTTATACAGAAATGGATATTATGACAATCTTTTTCTCTGCTCTGAAATGTACTATTGTCATAGTTATCATCATGGTTTAGCTATAACAGTATCGCATTTTAGAGCAGGGAAAAAATTGTCATAATATCCATTTCTGTATAAAAGCAATAAACGTTCAAAAAAAATAAGAAGCTATTTTTCAGGCATCTTTTAGATGGTATTCGTCTTGGATCTTGAACAGTCAATCAATTAATGGTCTTTCTTATATAAAACAAAATGCAATAGAGCATGCTTCAAAATAGTAAAAAAAAACATTATAATCTCTCTTCTTTTTAAAGAGTAATAAAGGATTTAAAATAGCTAGCTACTTTTCAGACACCCTGTATAACCAGTTGATGTCGATTGAAAAGTCGCTTAAGAAAAAGAAAATCAGGTAGCGGAGATGAGGTTTAGTTTCCGATTAAACTCTTTAAAATTGATAATATAATTGAGAATTATCTAATCAACTTTCATTAGAAAAATCAAGAGTTTATCAAAATTGTCACTGGTGTTGAGTTTTGAACGAAAATAATATGTATTTTCTCTAAACCTTTTCCGTTTCGAAATTACTCAATACAACCGACAAGTCCATTTTCATAGATGGAAATGTTTTTTGAGATTTTTCAAATTGTCTGCTTCTCATCGTCATCAATGTGTATTTATCGTTTGAACATGTATTTAATTCATAAGATAATACCAAGACAGGATATTTTCTTTTAATCAAGTACAAGTATGTTTTTTCATTGGTGATTCGTATCAAAACATCCCGAATAGATTAAATGCATGAAAATCGTCAAAAGTTTTCTTTTGTATTTTTAGATAGATGTTCTTCTTGACATGAAATCATTCTGAAGTGCAGCAAGATTCGATCTCACTCAAAAAACATGCAACATAAGTTGTTTTTCTTGTATTCTACTTTTCACATCTTTAATTCTATTAACTTCTAATCAGTTTTGTTTACATGATCAATTAACAATATTCAAGACATTTTTGTATATGGCAAATAGTCTTTGAGATGCATTGGAATTGAAATTTCCTCAGGTATACATAAATAAAGCAATTTGGAACAATTGATTCGTGTTGCTTCTCTTGTAAAATTGTGTGTCACTGTATCTAAAACTTCATAGTCGACTTCGACGTCGAGTTTCATTGGTAGACATGTTTTAGTGTCCAGTAGAAATTGTTCGACATAATCATCATGAGCTTCTTCAAGATCAAGTTTCCTAAGATGAGAATATTCAATGATTGATAAATGTTGATCATCATCATTTGATTGTTGAGAAAATTTGTTTTTCTGTGGTTGTTTATTGTTGATAAATAATGCTTCTATCAATGGAAAAGATTTAGCAATTCGAAGAAAAAATTCATGTTCAAACGGACGTTCATCAAATAATGAAACTTCACGAACATGTTCAAATAATCCATTTGATAAACTATTTGTAATATAATCGTAATATTGTACGTGATGTGGAAATGAATAAATCTGGCATTGACCTTGTTTACGATTTGAGAAATAATCAACATATGAAATAACTTGATGATCATGAAAATCTTTGAATGAATGTTGAATATCTTCATTTGATGATAAATAAATTTGATCGTTGAGATACAACAATGAACGTATGTTAAATGCAAATTTTTTTAATTCTAATAAATGAGTGATAATATTCTCTTTCAAATCATAACCATCAATAACTCTTTTCTCACAATACACTGAAAGATATAAATCGAGTTCTTCTAGATTTGACATTCGATGTAGAAGTGGCAAAATTAATTCATTATATTGATTTGTTTCCCATTTACAATGTAATGAAAAATGTTTTAGATTGGGTATTTTTTTCTAGAAAAAAAATAAATCAATTCATTTGAATATATTAGATATTGATCTGAACAATGTACTTTATTATCGATTATTCTTTGTGGTGGAAATATGTGATAAATATCAACATAAAATGTTCGAAGTTGATCGAAACGACCATCAACTAAATAAAGACAATCGATAAAGTTCTGCACACCGACACGTAATTCTAATAGAGTTGGACTGACAACATCTGGAGTCAAACTTCGAAGTAATAATCGTTGATACCAAAACAAAGATGGACCAAAATTCAAACATTGTAAATTGGAACTTACAGTTAAAATACGTTTAAATATATGTACATTGTCATTTTCTGCTAAACATAGATCTTTACGTTGAACAATATCGATAACAAGTGATAAAATTTGATTTTGAAATATATGAATTAAAGGACTTTCCTCTAAACATAAATTTAAAATTAATGAGAAAACACTTTAAATATTGACTATTATTGCATCCATTTTTCCAGTGTTTATCTTTCTTTCTATAATAAATATTAATTTTTTCTATTCTAATACATTGATTTCTAACGATATTTTTGTCTGTTTATGTATATATTCAAAGTATTTATGATTGAGAAAAAAAATCCAAGTGAAATCCCTTACCAGTAAAGATACGTGAAGCAGTTTCCTTCTCAATATGATATATACCAAGTTCATATAAATTGGGATAATTTGTCGAAAGAAGAATAGGTTCCATAAATGATGATTCAACATTGAGCCATTGGATTTTATGATGAATCGAAGGTAAAATTTGTAAACAAAATCGATCAAGTATTCGTTTAATTAATCGATCAGATAAACCATTAAAGGAATCACGCATTAATGTTAAACAAGTCGTAAAAATTGAATCATGTACAATTTCATTCAATCGTTTATTAACACCTATGAACGAGTAGAGTACTTCGATATTGGAGATTTTTTTCAAAATAATCATAAGAATTTCATCAGGTAAATCATGCAATCGAATCAACGAACCGTCCATGTTTAACTTCATCTATCTTTTTTTTTCTTCGTTTATATAGACTTATTCTATTTGACCGATTTCGTCAATGAAAACAATGACACACAGTGTTTTTAATGATTAGTGTACACCAGCAGAGCAAAGTGTACGTACACTCTGTTTTTTTAGAATACACTTTGTTTTCCTATGAAGTACACTCTGAAAATAAAATCTTTGGCTTAGCAAAGTGTATGCGTACACTGTGCTTCGAAATCCTATTAAAAACGCTGATGACACATTCTCCTATACTCTAAATTGACGGTGAATGAATGGAAAAAAAATCATATTGTCTTTTTTTCTTTCTTTCTCTCTCTCTCTCTCTCTCTCTCTCTCTCTTTCTTGATATTTTATACACCAATGAGTATCAATGTAATAAAGTATTTAATATGTTATTTTTGTCTGATAGAAACTGTTTGTTTACAAGTTAAATATTTCAATTTCAATAGAATATTTTGAGAGATAATATTTAACAGTTGTTTGTATCTTTTTCATTTGATTCAATTATTTATAAAACAATTGTAAAGGAAAAACTGACAAAAAACAAAATAAATAATTTGTATAATAGAAATCATCATAAGAATTATGTATCTGGATATATTCATTTTAAGTCATAAATTTATTTATTTGATTATGATTTTAAAAACAAAATAAAATAACTTTTCTCTATTAAATAGAAAAGTTTTATTAGAAAATCTGAGAAATTGAAAGGAGAATGATTATTCTCTAATTCTTTCACGGCATTTGCAAACAGTTTTACATGTTTCTGATGATTGTTTGTTTCATGATGAATACTAACGCCCTCCACATGTCATCGAAAAGAATATCTGCGACTGTTTATCGATCAATTCAATCATTGAATCTTTGTATATTTCGAGCAAAAAAACCTACATAAAGGCCTTGTCTACACTAGAAAAATGATGCGATTTAAATTTTGAATTAAATTGAGCTGTGTCTACACTTATAAGTTTAATGCATCATCAGAACCGAGATCTGGCCACTATTATATAGTGGGATTGCATAATTCTAGCACGTGTTCACGAAAAGAAAAAGTTACTTCTATCTCCATAATAACTAATGACTGCCTAATGGACTTTGTTACACAGAATGGACAAATAGAAGTACACAAAGTATAAGTAAAAATACTTTTTACTTAATAATGGTACTTTGGACTTTTATTCAAGTACAATTACTTATGCATATTGGTACTAAGTACGAGTTCTTAGTACATATGCACTTCAGTGTCAGTACCAAGTACCAATGCACCGAAGGGCCATACTAAGGTATAACAATATATATAGCTCATTGACTATCGTTTAGATTTATCATATACTCTTGTTTTGTATTATACTCACATATATACTACAATACATATATTACGATTGATATGATTGAAATATATTATCAATCATTATCAACAGAAATTATTAATTGTTTATCATGATTATTACTAATAGTAATGAATAGATGAGCATAGTCGGAAAACAAAGGTTCTCAAGGCATTAATCGGCATATAAAAAAATGATAAATAACTTTGTGCATTTCGATTTTAGATCATAACACCAGTATATTTATTTTTATTAGCATTATCACTAACACGAGCGCTTAGTTTCATTTGATTTTTATTAAGGATCCTCTTCCCCTCAAAAATGGATTTCACATCATGTACATGCAAATCCCATGAAATTTTCAGGATATGTTGGAGCTGAATGGAGAGGAGGCTATGATAAAATTTTCAGCCCTATATCATGATGTTTGAGGGGAATACTCACTGAACAATGATCAAAAATAGCTCATTTGGCATCCCAAATTTCTCTGTTCAGGCTCATTCTATAGATTTAATTATGTTTTTTTGTTTGACAGAGCATCCCAGGGTGCAGAGCATCCCAGGGTGCAGAGCACCCCAGGGTGCAGAGCACCAAAGAGTCATTTTTTTTAAATTCTTACTTTTTAAGCGAAAAAAAAGGATGATAAATTCAGTCACTGGAAAAACTCTCAAAAAATGGTGCTCTAATTATAGAAGCGCTTTTTTTTTATATAATAAAAACAATGCTTAATTTAGAAAAAGGCTCTGTGGTGCCCTGCATCTTGATATACTCTTTAAAACAAATATGAATTAAATATATAGAATGAAAACCCATAGAGAATTTTGGATTGCGCGATCTAGATAGCATAGACTGAGAAAAAAACGAAAAAACATTTTCCATTTTATCTGAAAAAATACATATTTTTCAACGGAAATCATTAAAAATTTTGACCAAAAACGAGGTATTAAATTAAAAATCATATTGTTTGTGACCCACACCCACACCCACACCCACACACCCACACCCACACCCACACCCACACCCACACCCACACCCACACCCACACACCCACACACCCACACCCACACCCACACCCACACCCACACCCACACACCCACACCCACACCCACACCCACACCCACCCACAC